CTCATTATGTCTCATTCATGTCTCGTTCTTGTTTCATTCATGTCTCATTCATTTTCGTCTCATCCATGTCTCATTTTTGTTTCATTCATCTCTCATTCATCCATGTCTCATTATGTCTCATTCATGTCTTGTTCTTGTTTCATTCATGTCTCATTCATTCTCATTCATGTCTCATTTTTGTTTCATTCTCGTCTCATTAATGTTTCATTCATGTCTCATTCTGGTCTCATTCTTGTCTCATTTATGTCTCATTCTTGTCTCATTCATATCTCATTCATGTCTCATGTCTCATTCTGGTCTCGTTCATGTCTCTCTCTCAGTGCGGGCGTCGGGCGTACGGGTGTCTTCATCACCCTCAGTATCGTCCTGGAGCGGATGCGTTACGAGGGCGCTGTGGACATCTTCCAGACCGTCAAAATGCTGCGCACACAACGACCAGCGATGGTGCAAACTGAGGTAAAACACGCATCACATGACCGACAAACACTGTTATCACTAACCTCCGAGTCTTTGGAGGATCTCATGCTGGGAAATTTCTGTAAATCATATTTTCCCACCTCAGACCCAAAGTACCAGACTCAGGACCACCACAAGATTTGCTATGATTTATACTGTTATGGAAAAAGTGATATAAAAATATTTATTTTATTAAGTGATCACATCCTCCCGTCTGTCTGTCTGTTCTCAGGACGAGTATCAGTTCTGCTATCAGGCTGCTCTGGAGTACCTTGGGAGTTTTGATCACTATGCAACATAAGAAGAACGCCAACCTGTACAACACCTTCCCCCTCAACAACCCCACAAACACCCGCAGAGGAACGACAACGACGACGACACGTGAAACACACACAGACTGCGACGCAGAGCAGACGTTCTCTCAGGAGCTCTAGGAGACACTCTGCGTCACAACGCAAACTATTACCTCAGTGTTCAAATATTGATATTAATGTTGTGGTCGGCTTTTTAGAAATATTAAACTGTGGATGAAGATCTTCATAACAACAGGAAAATATTACATGTACAAAATCTATTTAAAGCAAAACAACGAGGAAAAAAAGAAACTATGAAATCAAAAGCCTGGATAATTGCTGCACCCTTCAGTGGGAGTTTCTTCGAACTGTATTTGCCAACGTCAGATGTGAATGAGTGCGAGCTCATCTGCCTGCTAGAGTCATCGTTGCCATCCCAAACAAACGCGTCGGCGCCGCAGAACGGAAGCAGATCTCCTACCTTCTGTGCCTAACGGAGCGACCGCAGCCAACGCCGTACATTAGCACACGTGATATAATCTCTGATCCTTGGGAGCTGTGCACGAGACGGACTGAACTCTGTGAATACTGTATTCGGTGTGTCTCTACATGACTATATGCTGCTTACATCGTTTTGGAGGCTTGAATCTCGTATCTGTATCATGTTCTTTTGCTCCTTTCTGCTGTGGCATAATGTACTCCGCTGTGTCTTTATGGTGGGACGACGGAAGGGCCACGATTATTGGGTTTATAGATAAATGATTGGGCTGATACACGTTCTACAGGAATCGCGAGACTCATTCCCCAGTATTTCCAGCCATGCGTCAAACGCTAGAAAGATCTTCTGAGATGGTTGCATTCTCCCTCGATCAGACGTCGGTCGAGCCGAACCCGACGAAACTCTTCTCGTTATGTTTAGTTTAGCGCAGGCGTGATGTTTAGGAGTAGCGCCGGAAGCGAGCCGGTTCTGAGATCTCCACCTGAGACGTGAAGTGAGCCTTAACGTTGTTGTCAAATATTTAATCGACCTGATTTTTTTATTTCGCTTTGTTTATATTATGCTTGAATTTTTAAGGATCTATTTATTTATATGATTTTTATGGCAATATAATTGGTGAGCTGTGGTGTAGTTGGCCAGCTAATGTGACTGTACATGGCTCAGATGTACAGTGTTGTGCTTCGTATCCCTCTCAGATATTTTGATATTTCCTGTGCACTGATTGTTCTAGAGGAAGCTGACGGCCCGCGGCCCTCCGGAGCCCAAACCTCACCGAAACGGTCGTGAAGTATCGCTCCTTCGCAAACAAAACGCACGTGTTCTTAGACATTACACACGTTTCTCATCAGCATTATTAGTCAAACTAAACGAGTTAAAGCACACCCAGATTTCAAGAGCCCAGAGAGATGATATCAGCCTCAGATCAGCGTCACAGATCTACAGTGTGCAGTACCGTACCATACAGTGATGCACCACGGTAAACACAACAAAAACTGCCACAGTATGTGGTTGTTAGCTGATGAGCTCAGTAATGACCAAACATCAGCTGATTAACTGTGGCATCACTGTACCGTAGTACGAGCTCATCCTAAGAAAGCAGACGCTGATCTGCAGGTTTTCTCTCTTCATGAATGAAAGCACACTGAGACAAGATTCTGCTGCTCGTCTCAATCAATTATTCTCAACATTAAATGTTCCTTTGGAGATGAAAGCACACAAACGAACCAAAAGCAACATCTGATCAGACGACTGTGTGACGAGTGAACGTGGGCCGCGTGCTGACCTACAGTAGTGTTTCACTTTCTCTGCTTATTGATTTCAGATCATGTATGTAGATATGTCGACTTTGTATTAAAACTGAACGACTGGATATACTGACGTGAAGGCCGTGTGTGTCGTCTGTTATTTCATATTTCATATTAATCATCTGTGATTATTTTATACTTCAGTGGAATCGACCGGTTTCTGATTCTCTTGTGACTCCTGATCACTTGTGAAGGTCACATTTTCACCACTATGTAGTGCTGCTCCTCACATACACACATATATCACAGACTGTTTATTAAAATAACTACAGGCTGATTTAGAAATGTACAATCTTATAAACATCTGCAATAAATATATTTGTGTGTGTGTGTGTGTGTGTGTGTGTGAGTGTGTGTGCGTGTGAGAGAGTGTGTGTGTGTTTGTTTTTGTGTGTGTGTGTGTGTGTTTGTTTTTGTGTGTGTGTGTGTGTGTGAGCGAGCGAACGAGCGTGCGTGCGTGTGAGAGTGTGTGTGTGTGAGTGAGAGTGAGTGAGCGAGTGTGTGTGCGTGTTGTTTGTGTGTGTGTGTGTGTGTGTGTGTCCAGGGGGATCTGTTGGTCTGGTGATTCTCACTCATTTGCTGCATGAGCTCACTGTTTTTTCTCTCTGTTGTGATTTTGCTGCTGATTCAAATAAAACATGTTTGAATCTCTAATATTTTCTGTACTGCGAGACTCTTATTAGTTCGGTCAGGGTCACTTAAGTTTAATTTCAGTGTGTCAAAGTGTTGCCTGGATACAGATTGAGTTTGGTGTCTTTGCACTTCAGTCACATTTGAAATATCAAATGACTCTGAATAATTATGAAGCTCTGTGCTCTAAAAATATCTGAAGATGAACACTGTAGGACCAGTTAAAAAAACAACCTTTAGTGAACGATGGACGTCCATGTGTTCATTTGACACAAGAAATCTGAAGAGAGCCGAGATCTGAAAACAAAAATTCGGGTGCGGCTGGTCATGTGCTTTTGAAGAACACATTGATATGTGGGCGTGGCCTCACGGGGCTGGTGGGCGGGGCTAATGAACACACAAAGGTGTCATCTGACCCCGAAGCTTCAGGTTAACATCAAATGATCTAGAAGCAGCGCTGACAATAACAAACAAATAACTGAAGACTCCAGAGTTTATGAAATGCTTTTATTAAACATTCTCCAGGTTTCAGACGCAGCCCTGGTAACGCTTAGTGGGAGTGGCTGTGGCTTGCAGTGGGCGTGGCTCTGTGCATCATGTGGGCGTGGTCACAGCTGCTTCTATCTGCAGTGAGATCTGACTTCGAGTAGTGACAATTCTGCAGGCCGCTGCTCATCTGTATCCGGCCCAAGCATGATGGGAAGTAAAAAAGCAAACAGGAGGTTTTCTCTGGAAAGCTCAGGGTGAGTGTGTCTTTTTCATTATTGTTAACTAAAACATTTAAAAATTAAATTATATATATTATATATAATATCATATTTATATATTGGACGAAAATGAACTTTAAAAATATAAATAAGTACATTTAAGTTTATATACTACTGGCAAAAACACAGTTTCATGCATCTATTAGTTTTAAGATTTTGGGTTATTTGGATTTTCATGAAGTTTTGTTTTGGACTAGTGGAAAGAGAACATCCAAAATACACATTTAAGTGTTAATTTTATTGCACTTTATCTATTTGTGTCTGTAGAAATCCAATCTATACTGTGTATTTAAAGAGTTTTTTCTCTTACATTCACCAAACCTTACAGTTTTATTCCACTCTATATTCTGAAGGTTTGTTCATATATGATTCACACTGACTTACACAACATTTTATTCCTAAAAACATGGTGAAAAAGTGTTTGTTTTCTGTCTGTTGACAGTATTTATGATAAAAAGAGAAATCCAAAAACCCCTCTGGAGAAACCTTGAACTCTAATATGATGACAAAATCAAACAAGAATTATGAACCTTGATTCATCCAGTCTTCAGATTTATCTGCTGGAAATTAGTGCATATTTGATTAGATAATGCTTATATAATATCTTTTAGTTATGTTTTAACCCTATTCACTTGCGTGGGGATTCTTGCCTTAAGTACTAAAATAACTAAGGATAAAACTTAAATAAAAATCAATTAAAGCAAAATAATAAAAAAAACTCTGATACTAATAACAATTGAGTAAAACAAAATTACTAAGACTTTAACTAAAAAAATGTAAAAAAAATTTAAGGTAAACAAATTGCTTTTAAAATAAATGCTCAGTAGTACAAAATAACTAAATAAACAGTACAAAATAACTGCTTAAACCTTCTAAATGACCCACATGATTGTCAGGTTCATCTGTGACACATTCAGACAAATGTATCAATATTAATCAGACAATACAGAGTCAAGGCAAGTTTATATATGTGTAAGATTTCAGACGCTGCAGTAAGAGCACATGTGCTTGATAGATATGATTACTGTATTCACACCTCACGCGTAAACCATTAGATATGATTACTGTATTCACGCCTCACGCGTAAACCGTTAGATATGATTACTGTATTCACGCCTCACGCGTAAACCGTTAGATATGATTACTGTATTCACGCCTCACGCGTAAACCGTTAGATATGATTACTGTATTCACGCCTCACGCGTAAACCGTTAGATATGATTACTGTATTCACGCCTCACGCGTAAACCGTTAGATATGATTACTGTATTCACGCCTCACGCGTAAACCGTTAGATATGATTACTGTATTCACGCCTCACGCGTAAACCGTTAGATATGATTACTGTATTCACGCCTCACGCGTAAACCGTTAGATATGATTACTGTATTCACGCCTCACGCGTAAACCGTTAGATATGATTACTGTATTCACGCCTCACGCGTAAACCGTTAGATATGATTACTGTATTCACGCCTCACGCGTAAACCGTTAGATATGATTACTGTATTCACGCCTCACGCGTAAACCGTTAGATATGATTACTGTATTCACGCCTCACGCGTAAACCGTTAGATATGATTACTGTATTCACGCCTCACGCGTAAACCGTTAGATATGATTACTGTATTCACGCCTCACGCGTAAACCGTTAGATATGATTACTGTATTCACGCCTCACGCGTAAACCGTTAGATATGATTACTGTATTCACGCCTCACGCGTAAACCGTTAGATATGATTACTGTATTCACGCCTCACGCGTAAACCGTTAGATATGATTACTGTATTCACGCCTCACGCGTAAACCGTTAGATATGATTACTGTATTCACGCCTCACGCGTAAACCGTTAGATATGATTACTGTATTCACGCCTCACGCGTAAACCGTTAGATATGATTACTGTATTCACGCCTCACGCGTAAACCGTTAGATATGATTACTGTATTCACGCCTCACGCGTAAACCGTTAGATATGATTACTGTATTCACGCCTCACGCGTAAACCGTTAGATATGATTACTGTATTCACGCCTCACGCGTAAACCGTTAGATATGATTACTGTATTCACGCCTCACGCGTAAACCGTTAGATATGATTACTGTATTCACGCCTCACGCGTAAACCGTTAGATATGATTACTGTATTCACGCCTCACGCGTAAACCGTTAGATATGATTACTGTATTCACGCCTCACGCGTAAACCGTTAGATATGATTACTGTATTCACGCCTCACGCGTAAACCGTTAGATATGATTACTGTATTCACGCCTCATGCGTAAACCGTTAGATATGATTACCGTTAGATATGATTACTGTATTCACACCTCACACTCCTCACGCGTAAACCGTTAGATATGATTACTGTATTCACACCTCACGCGTAAACACACCTCACGCGTAAACCGTTAGATATGATTACTGTTTTCACTCCTCACGTTAGATATGATTACTGTATTCACACCTCACGCGTAAACCATTAGATATGATTACTGTATTCACACCTCACGCGTAAACCATTAGATATGATTACTGTATTCACTCCTCACGTTAGATATGATTACTCTATTCACGCCTCATGCGTAAACCGTTACATATGATTGCTGTATTCACTCCTCACGCGTAAACCGTTAGATATGATTACTGTATTCACTCCTCACGCGTAAACCGTTAGATATGATTACTGTATTCACGCCTCACGCGTAAACCGTTAGATATGATTACTGTTTTCACTCCTCACGCGTAAACCGTTAGATATGATTACTGTTTTCACTCCTCACGCGTAAACCGTTAGATATGATTACTGTTTTCACTCCTCACGCGTAAACCGTTAGATATGATTACTGTTTTCACTCCTCACGCGTAAACCGTTAGATATGATTACTGTATTCACTCCTCACGCGTAAACCATTAGATATGATTACTGTATTCACACCTCACCCGTAAACCATTAGATATGATTACTGTATTCACTCCTCACACGTAAACCATTAGATATGATTACAGTATTCACACCTCACACGTAAACCATTAGATATGATTACTGTTTTCACTCCTCACGCGTAAACCGTTAGATATGATTACTGATATGATTACTGTTTTCACGCCTCACGCGTAAACCGTTAGATATGATTACTGATATGATTACTGTTTTCACGCCTCACGCGTAAACCGTTAGATATGATTACTGATATGATTACTGTTTTCACGCCTCACGCGTAAACCGTTAGATATGATTACTGTTTTCACGCCTCACGCGTAAACCGTTAGATATGATTACTGTTTTCACGCCTCACGCGTAAACCGTTAGATATGATTACTGTTTTCACGCCTCACGCGTAAACCGTTAGATATGATTACTGTATTCACGCCTCACGCGTAAACCGTTAGATATGATTACTGTATTCACTCCTCACGCGTAAACCGTTAGATATGATTACTGTTACGGTCTAATTATTACGTAAGAGTAATTATTATTATTATGAATCCATAATAACACTTCCTCCAGTGAAAAAGTGTTCTGGTCTGAATCAGGAGAGAAATCTGCACAGATCAAGCAGCGTTTAAACAGCTCTGAACACATATGTGGCTGGATTTTGATGTGAGAGACAACAGCAGATGCACTTTTTCACTGGAGGAAGAGTTATCTGATCAAAACTCTATGAATCTCATGCAAAAGAAAGCCATTCAGTTCCAAGTTCTGGTGTCTGAAGATTCTACATGTGAAGCTTCACGTTAACATGCATTGAAATCATTCACCGATATTCATGACGCATCTCCCATCTCATAAACATTCTTACAATAGAACATAAATATAACATTTCACAACAGCAACATCATCAGATTCAGCAGCAGCAGTGATCACAGACAATGCCATGCTGTTTACTATGTGCTCATAAATACAATTATAAACATGTTTACGATATAGATAGACAGACAGACGGCGGGCGGCCGGTAGGCGGCGATATTAGCGCTGCGGTGTAGTTCTCCTTCCGCTCGTCAGACCACAGAAGAAGAAGCAGCTGCTTCATATCACTCAGCGCGATGGAGTCCAGCGATGCGGGTAAAAGCCTGCACACACTCAAATATCCTCAAAACACTGGTTTTCTCGCACATATGTGTGTGTGTTTGCGTGTCTGACTCGTTCTTTGACTCAGTTTGTTGAGGTGATGTTTGTTTGGATTGTTTTGATCGATTAGCCGCTTCAGTGCTAAACCTCACAAACCAAAACAACACTTGTGTTGTACTTTATTAGCGATGTGTAGCATATAAAACACGATATCAGAGCTTTATATTCTGTATTTCATGCTGAATAATTCTGATATCCGTCTGTATTTACTTCAAATTCTATATGGGTTTCTTTTTCTTTTTTCATCTTTTCTAAACATGCTATACCTAAAAATATGCCTACTTTTGTTTTTAGCAGTAACGTTAATTTACTGTGTGTTTGTACTTGTTAGTGCACTAACTAGGTACTAAACCTTAACCTAACCAATGTAGTTACCTTATATTAACAGAACTTTCTTAGGCAAGTACATGTACTGTAAAATAAAGTGCAAGCAAAACCATGTAAGTCTATGAGATGAGCTGAGCAGTACAGTGAAATAACCGCGTGTGTGTTTCAGGTCGTGGCGGCTGGAAGACTCATCAGAAGAGTAAACTGAATGTGATCATGAGACAGGAGGAGCTGATCGCTCAGAAGAAGAGAGAGATCGAGGCCAGACTGAAAGAACAGGCTCAGAAGAAGCAGAAGCCCGTCCAGAACCAGAACCAGAACCTGAACCAATCCAGCAGGTGACGCACGGCTCTGATCATCAGTACAGCAGAACAGACGTGATCTGTGTGTGTGTTGATCTCTCTCTGTGTGTGTGTGTCAGTTCTCCTCCCTCAGAGGCATCTTCATCATCATCCTCCTCCTCCTCCTCCTCATCCTCATCAAACAAGTTTGTGAACGACGGCAGTTTCCTGCAGCAGTTCCTGAAGATGCAGCGAGAGAAATCCAGCGCTGATGAAGGTTTGTTTCTCTCACACGTCACGGGTGTTCGTTTGCTTTGACTCATAGTTCAACAGTATCTGCACGACTGCAAATGTATTAGTTTTACAGTTCAATAAACAAGAAGTTAATATACTGTTACATTTTAGAAAAATACTGTAAGTTTTTGCTCAATTTCACCAATGAAAACAGCTCTAAACAAAGTCGTTACAGCTTTTCATTCCGGAATGAATCAGTGTTTTGAACAAATCAATGACTCATTCATACAGACAGTGACTCAGTCGTTTGAACGAATCAGTTGAATGAATGACTCACTTATTAAAGGTCCCATATTGTCAAAACTGAAATTTTTCTATCATTTTTTCATGATAACTGAGGTCTAGGTTCTATGTAACTACCATATAAGTTTCAAAACAGTCAGTCCACAGTAAAATTCACACAGCCTGCTTAAAGTAGCTGTGATTTTTCACGAACCATTGTGACTTCCGTAAAAAGTTGACGTCAGAACTACACAGTCACCGCCTTCAGTCACCCCCCCGAGCACCGCCCACCGGCCCACTCTCCTTTAGCCAAACCCCAGACAACATTGCGGAAACATGTCGAAAAGGTTAACTTTAACCACGAAACCAGATCGGCCGACCAGTAACGTTACACTCTCACTCAAAGGATGGACGATCTGACAGGATTGTTACTATGAGGTGATCACATCTAACGTGTATAGTAAAGACAAACTCAC